TTCTTGATGTCACCCCACAACTCGTGAGTCATTGGTGTTCAGTGTGTCAAATCTGTTCTTTAGATGGTCTCTAAATTCAGGTGGGATATACTCAAGCTTGTGTTTTGGCTCTAGTGGACTTGTTTTAATTTTCTTCAGCTTCAGCTGAAACTTGCATGTGAGTAATTGATGGTGTGTTCCACAGGTGGTCTCTGGTCTTCTTCTAACTGATGATATTAAGCTTCTCCATCATCTCTTGCCACACATGTAGTTGATTTGATTCCTGTGTATTCCATCTGACAAGGTCCGTGTGTATAATCATCGTTTATGTTGTTCAAAAAAGATATTTGCAATGAATAATTTGTTGGTCTTGCAAAATTCTATCACGTGATCTCTAGCATCACTTCTGTCACCAAGGCCATGTTTTCCAACTACTGATGCTTCTGCTTTGTTTCCAACGTTCACATCTAATTACCAGTAATTATTGGATCTTGATTACACATATGATCAATTTCAGACTGTAGAAGTTTGTTATATTTCTTCATCTTTGGCTTTAGTCACTGAGGTATGAATTTGAATAACAGTAGTATTAATTGGACTGTCTTGTTTGTGGGTGGATATTATCACTTATAACATTGTACTTCAGTGTAGATTTTGAAATATTCTTTTTGAAAATGAGTACAACACCATTCTTCTTCAATTTGTCATTCCAGCAGAACAGACCATATGCTTATCTGATTCAAAATGCCTTTACCAGTCCATTTCAATTCACTAATGCCTAGGATATCCATCTTTTTGCATTCCATTTCATTTTTTGACAACTTTCCAATTTCACTTTGTGATTATTAATGTATATTTGCAGTTGTTTCTTCTCATTTGGAGTCATGCCACCTCAGCTAATGAAGGTCCTGAAAGCTTCGGTCCATCTGCATCATTAAGATCACCTCTCATTTGAGGAAGCAGTTCCTCCCCAGTTGTACAGTTGTACTTTTAGTGCCTTCAAACCTGAGGGGCTCATCATCTGGTGCTCTATAAGACAAAATTTAACAGGGATAACTATAAAATCTTACCCTTGGGTCTCAAAAATCAAGTGCACCAAGACAGATTCAGAGGAGAGCAACTTAATTACAGCCCCTGTGCATGAGAATTAGGGGTTTTAGGGTGAGTCACAGAGTGTTCTGTGACTGCCAACAAAACTAATTTGATCTGAGAATATGATTAAAATTCTACATTACTTTCTTATATGAGACTACCCTTAAAGCATTACACTTACCTTGGGGCCACATTTAAGCAGGGGAGTATTTGTGAAACCCTATCATGTGGAGAACATTTGAATGAGCCTGAGGAGAATTAAAGTGTTGGGTGGATGTGATAGCTGGTTGACTTAAGATATTTTAGGAGAATCTTCAGTGTGGCCCCAAGGGAAGATGAGAAGTTATAGGCAAGAGGGTGTTGGTACAATCTGAGAAAGAATTTCATAAAAACATAAGAGTTGTCCTGAAATAGAAATGGGCTATCCTTTGAGGAATAAAGACTCCTAAGAGTTCTCATAAAAGTGAATGTCTTCTTGTTTTGGTTTTTGTGGGGTTTATTTTCTGATGGGGAAATACATTGAGATTCATGAATATTTCCTGGATATATGACAACCCCCATCAGGAAGCTAAAAGGTAAATGTCTGAAAACTGACCCTGCTGCCTAGACATCCTCCTCCTCCTCTTTGGGGACACAGCTACCTGCAGAAAGGATATATGCATGAGTGACTGTTGTGAGGGGCTAGATTCCTCTTGGTACATCCATCCTCCTGTCCACCACTCACATAGCCTAGATGACCAGCACATGAAAATTTCGCCTGACAGAATGTGGAATGAATTCATTAGTATCAGAAGGAGTTTTTTTTTTTTTTTTTTTTTTTAAAAACCTATTTACCAAGATTTGATGCATTCTTTGTTTTAAAGGCACATAACTTGAATGCTTTCCTCCTAATGGCCTCCAGCTATATTCCTCCTAAGACAAATTATCATCAATACATAACAAGATACAACAGAATAAGGCAGCAGGGGAAAGTCTATCTGTGATCACTGCCTTGTGCCTCTTTACAGAAGCTTCTGTCAGAAGAGAGGTTTGTATCCATGGAAACAGACTCTGATGAGAAGCAGCTACTCAATCAGATCCTGAATGCTGTGAAAGTGACGCCTTCCCTCAACGAAGACCTGCAGGTGGAAGTGATGAAGGTTGGTTTGACGTGGCTGCTGGTTTGCGTCATCGGGACAGGAGTACATTTTGACCCCCTGTGCTCATTGTTCTCTTGCAAATGCACCTGCATAATGGTCATTAAGATGCTAGTTCATCTTCTGGTGGGAATAGATGGTTATTATCTATACCTATAGCCCCCCAAATTCCCTTGATTGTTTAACAGAAAGGACAACTATGTAAAAAGGTACAAATTGGCCTGATGGTGCATATCACATATTGTTAGGAGATGTATTTATCACCTTTCACAAGAATATATGTGAGTAGTTCCAACATGGAGTAGATCTCATCATTCTGGGTGTTCTGCCTGCCTGTATATAACAAGACAAAGCAAGGACCTAATTGTGTTTTCGACATACACTGACATTTTGGAATGGGAAGGAATACCATCTTGGCATCACATCGTCCTTTTTCTTCCTAACATTATGCAAGCTGTGTCTCTCTCATTCTAATTACCACCTCCCTTTTAGGGGTGGCATCTCCTCCTCCTCTCTTCCCTCTCCCTCCCTTGAGAATTATGACTGGGAGCTCATTTTACTGACTGGAACGTGTGTGTCATAGCCTGTGAGTGAACAGTGACTTTGGACAGAAGAGAATGAAAATCTCCACCCCAGAAGACCATCTTGGTTACAGTAACACAGCTGGAACCAACAAGCTGTATTTTAATAATCCAGTCTGTCCTTTTCATCCCTAGAGGAATGTGTGTAGAGGAATATTATAGTCGTCATTGTCATATAATGGTTGATTTCTTCCTGGCAATGTGCTGATGGATTTTTGTCTTGGATAATAAACTTCACATCTCTGGGTTTCAGTTTCACCATTCAGGAAAGATTGACATCTGTGTTTCTCAGAGTGTGGTCAACATACTACTTAAAATATTTTCTTAGTGCCCTGAGCCTCGCCCTAACCCTGTTGGAAAATAGTATAGTATAGTATACTTTAGAGCTCAGATTCTGACATCAATCTACCTGAGTTTAGTCTTCATTTCTCTAATTCCCAGCAGGATGTCCTTGGATAAATTATTTAACCATTCTGTACCTTGGTTTCCTCATCTGTAAAATGGGGAGATAGTAGTACCTGTTCCTGGGTGGTTCAAATGATTAGCATGCTTAGCTGCTAACTGAAAAGTTGGAAGGTGCAGGCTATCTAGAAATGCCTTGGAAGAAAGCCCTGATGATCTACTGAAATATCAGCAGTTGACAACCCTATGGAGTAAAATTCTACTCTGACACACTAGGGGTCACCATGAGTCAGAGCTGACTCTACAACAACTGGTTTTAACCCAACGGGATTGCTGTGAGAATGAAATAAAGTGATATTTATAAAGAACTTAGCACAGAATGTGGCACCAAAGATAGTACTTTATAAGTGTTAGTTATTAGTTCTACTACAGTTTCTGCTGCTATTGCTGCTAATGGTATGGCTGAGTCAGAATCCCAATGAGTATACCTTTATCACTAGTTTCCTAAGTGATTGTTATACATGGTAAACTTCAAGAATCCCTGAGCTACAGGACCATAATCTTGGGGGACATGTCAGTTGCATAACATAGTCCACAAAGACAGTGTTCTACATCGTACCTGAGTGAGTAGTGACTGGGATTGTAAAAGCTTGTGAGGAGCCATCTAAGGTACAAGTCTTGGTCTCTCCACATTCGGAGAAAACAAGAGTGGAGAAAATCAAGGGTGCAAGGAAACAATAAGTCCAAAGGACTAATGACCTACTGGAACCCCAGCCTCCACAACCCTCAGTCCAGAAGAAATAGATGGTACCCAGCTAGCACTGCTGACTACTCTGAAAGGGATCCAAGTAGAGATCCTGGTTAAGTGGGAGAAAAATGTGAAACAAAACTCAAAATCATAAAGAAGACCAGGCTTACTTGTCTGATGGAGACTGGTAGAACACCTGAGACTATGGTCCTTAGATATCCTTCAAGCTGGGAGCTGAACTCACTCTCATGGCTTGGCTTTCAGCCAAATGACAGACCTTTAAGGTAAACAATAATATTGGGACAGTGTGTGCTCATTGGAGCAATCAACTGTGCAGAATATGTAGGGGAGGGGTGTCATTTGCCCAGGGACAAGGCAGGGAGGGTTGGAAGGGACAGGGAGGAAGGATGAAGGAGATGCTAAACACAGGGAGGAAGTGGGAGTGCTGGTCCACTGTGGAGACTACAGTGAATGTCACAAAGTGGGATGTGTATGAATTTTTGAGTGGGGGGCCAGTTTGCTCTGTGAACTTTCACCAAATCATATCTATCTATCTCTATCTACCTCTATCAGTCAATCGATCAATAGATAGATATATCATTGAGCTTATTCATCCCTAACTCTCTTTGATTCTAGAATGTACAGTTTCACCTTTGACTTCTGTGCATTCCTAGCAACCAAAGGGCAACTCCTGTGGAATTGTTTTACTTCCCCACTACCTCCATGCCATTCTTGAGAGAGAAGTGAGGCTAGCTGTTGTGTTAATAGTAATGACTTCCAAGTCCAGTCTGTTGAATCTTCTGCTATTAGGTCTCCAAATAATGGAGGGCAAGCATTGGTAACATATTAAGAGACACACATCACAGATTTGATATCGTTCTCTAAATTCTCTATAAGTCAGACTCGACTTGACAGCAGTAGGGATGAGTAAATCCTTCTAAGAATATATGTTTTCGTGAAATATAGGAAAATAGTATTAAAAATTAAAATGAGAAAGTACCTAATTTTCTAGGAGCTGTGGAGAAGCAGAATGTTTAATGGTTATGTCAACAGTAAAACCTGTTTTGAAAGCTTGTACTTGCTTTTTAATTCCAGCTCAGCAGTGCCTTCTGCTCACCTTGCTGAGGACTGGAGTTGATGCATGTTAACTCTATGGGAAATAATGGAAGACCTATCTTAATGGACTTTCTAATGACACTGTAATAGATAGGTTCTTTTAGCTAACATCTGGGAAGGAAATTAGACCTTTTCAGAAAAATAGAAAAACAATCTGTGTTGTCATTTTTCACAAATAGATTTCCAGATGCTTTGAAAAATGAGAGCCTTTGCTACATGCTACTATTTTTTTTTTTTTAAGGTATTTAAGCTATGGAACTGGGGGAAAGTATGTCTGTTCACAACCAACCTATCCTTAAGCTAATTTTCTTTAGTGTACTTTTATACTTTAGGAAAACATTTTTGGCCATAAGCTAAAAATTTAACAGCGATCACTGTGGTTTGTCATTGGTGTATTTTGTTAGTTGTCCTTGAGTTGGTTCCAGCTCATGGCCACCCACACACAACAGGAAGAAGAAGGCCTGGTCCTGCATCCTCTTCATGGTTGTGGATGTGCTCAGATCCGTCATTGCTGCCACTTCGTGTTTTGACTTACTTCCAACCTAGAGGTCTCGTTTTCCAACAGTGTATCAGACAGTATTCTGTTGTGAGCCATAGGGTTTTCACTGGCTAATTTTCAAAAGTAGATCACCAAGCATTTCTTCCTTGTCTGTTGTGGTCTAGATGTTCTGCTGAAACTTGTCCACCATGAGTGACCCTGCTGGTATTTGAAATATGGGTGGTGTAGCTTCCAGTATCATAGCAACAAGAAAGCCACCATAGCATGACAGACTAACAGATGGATGGTGGAACTATATTTTAGGATAGTACTATTAGCATCAAATAAAACTTGGGAGGTGGTCTTGTAGACTTCACTCTGATAGCTCACAGGGGAGGGCTCAGGATCATTTCCTATTTCTGAGATTTAAAATATTCTTTCTTGGGTATAAAGATATATCCAAACAATATCATTTCAGGCATAAAAATAATAAGTTTTCTCCTCTTTTTATATGCCTGAGGAATTTCTATAGCAACTCTTTAGTTATCTTCAGAAACCCATACCCCTTTCTCTTGCAATTCTGTTAATACTTGTAATGACCCAAATAACATCTCTTAAATACATCTTTGTTTTGTTAATATCATTACTACTTTAAAATGGTTATACTACCTCTTTTCCCAAAAATTACATTAAAAAATAAATTGAATGAATCATTTAGAGGAAAGAGTGGTTTTCTATTATATATGAAAGATATGTTAGCTTATTCTTAGTGTTTTTCCATAACTTGTTCTTATAGTAAATTATCTAAACTAGATGTTTCCTGTAAAATCCTCCAGTCACTTCATGTAAATATCTTGTAGGTCCAGAAATGTTTTAAATGAGTTATGGTAGGCATGTTCAGATGTTGGTCTGAATTTGTGATTTAGGAGGGGTAAAACACTTCACACCATACAGTTTTATTTATATCTGTCCAACCAAGTTGCAGTTTTTTAAAAATATATCTCTAGGTGCTATGTCATGTACTTTAGCTGCATATTGCTGTCTGCTAATGTATATAAATGGAGCTCTGGTGCCTAAGGCATTTCACTGCTTAACCAGAAGTTTGGTGGTTCAAACCCACCAGCCACTCCACAGAAAGAAGATGGGGCAATGTACTTCTGTGAAGGTTTACCACCTTGGAAACCCAGTGGGGGTCGCCATGAGTCAGAACCAGTCAATGGCAGTGAGTTTCGTTTTGTTTTTTTTTTTAAATGTTTATAAACATGAGAAATTTAGCCATGTCACACTCTTAAGAATATGTACTCAATTGTACTAAATACTTGGGTAGAAAAGAACATGGTTTCCTCTTTTAGTGATTTTTCCCAATATTAAATGTTGTTGTTGTTGTTATTGTTTGCCATCGAGTCAGACCCGACTCATAGCGACCCCTCCTTGGGTTTCCAAGGCAGTATCACTACGGAAGTAGATTGCCCCATCTTCCTTCCGGGGAGTGGCTGGTGGGTTTGAACCACCAGCCTTCTGGTTAGCAGTCAAATGCCTTAGGCACTATGCTACCAGAGCTCATAGAAACTAGATAATAATGAAACCCGAGAATCCAATGGTAATGTTCTCATTTAGAAAGAAGAGTCTAGGCTTCCAACTGGAGAAATTTGAAAAAATAAATGATGCTTGCTTCTTC